TTACTCTTTATTTCAGTCAGTGCATGCTTAATTTCTGACTGGTCCTTTTCCTTTTTTTTTTTTGGCATTCTCACTAAGATCCTTGAAAGTCTCACTAAGTTCCTCAGAGGTTTCTAGAAGATTCTTGAGAAACCTTATAACTGTGGTTTTGAACTCTATATCCAGTATTTTGCTTTCTTCCATTTCTTTCACTTGTGACATGTTTCTTTGTCTTCGCATTTTGGATGCTTCCCTGTGTTTGTTTCTATGTACTGGGTAGCTGCTAAGTCTCCTTGAGTTGATAATGGCCTTGTGTGGTAGGTGTCCTATAGGGCCCAGTGGCTTGGCCTCCCCAATCACCTGAGGTGGACACTCTTGGTGCACCCCTTTGTGGGCTGTGTGCACAGTCTTGTTGTAGGTAAGCCTTGATTGCTGTTGGTATCACTGGGAGGAATTGACCTCCAGGCCAATTGGCCGTGAGGACCAGTTGTGTCTACAATGGGAGAATTTCTGTGTTGGAGACACCCTTATGGGGCAGGACTTGCTTCAATGGGGCTTTGGTGCTCACTGAGTCTGCCCCCTGAGTGTGTCTCTTATGGATGTGAAGAGTTGTAATCTGGATGGTCTCACTCTGACCACTGGGTACACTGGCTCTTGGATCTCTATAAGGAGGTGCAAAGTCACCCACTGCCTGAGGCCACCCAGCAGGAACTACAGAGAGATCTGCAGATTCCTCCTCTTTGTTTGGGGTTTGGAGGTGCCCAAATGAGGCACAGCTGTGAAGCAATGCGGGCTGCCTACGAGCCTTAGGCCTTCTTTTGGAAGCTTTGGGGTTCTCTGACCCAGCTGCAGTTTGACACGTTTTTAGGTGGAGAAAGGCCAGGCCATTCATAGGCAAAAGCCTCTGCGCATAGCTTGGGTGGGGTTGTAAATTGGGTGGGGTGGGGTCTCAGGGAATCACCAGGGCAGAGCAAATAGCAATGGCTGCCAATCTGCTCTGCCTCAGAGAGGTCCCAGGGTCTCTCTGTCCCGCAGCCCCGTGCAGGGACAATGACCACTGCAAGCACCTCGGCGAGAAAGCCGCCCTCACATTCCGGCCTGATGCCAGACAGTCCAGTTTCTCTCCATATGAGTCTGGGTCCCCAGATTCTCATCCAGAACTGGAGTTCAGAGCAGTCTGGAGCTTTTATCTCCCTCCCGATTGAAAAAGACAACAGCGTACCCAGCTCCAGCCCCTTTCGTGTGTGCCTCCGTACCTCCACATTTCCACACCTCTGCACCTCCTACCAGACTTAATGCGCTTTTCTCTTTCCTTCTAGTTGTAGAATTTCCACTCAGCCAGCCTTCCTGTGGTTCTGGATGATAGTCGTTTTGTCTTTTAGTTGTAGTTTTAATGTGGTTGTGCGCGGCAGCAAGTTCAGGTGTTAACCTATGCCGCCATCTTGGTTGTCTCCCTTCTGTATTTTATAATGTGACTATGTATTTTTTTGATGATCAAATTACCTTTATTTCTGAAAATGAGTAAAATGTATCACAGCAAAATTAAAGTATGAAAAAGCACTATTATTTCATAGGCATTGTAGAAGAATTTGATCATATTCAATGATTAAATACTCATACTCATTCCTGATTTTTCAGAATAGCTAGATAGGAATGGTAAGGTGATTTCTTTCTCTTTTTTTTAATTCTTTATTGTTTAAAGCATTACATGAGTCTCCTTTTTCCCCCCATTGACCTCTCCCCTGCCACCTCCTCCCCCAAGCACAAGCCCTCACACCCCCACCCCCACTGTCTGTGTCCATTGGTTTTGCTCATATGCATGCATACAAGTCCTTTGGTTGGTCTCTTACCCCCTCATCCCCGGCCTTCCCTTATACGTTGTACAGTCTGTTCAATGCTTCTATGTCTCTGGTTCTATTTTTGTTCATCAGTTTATGTTGTTCATCATATTCCACAAATGGGTGAGATCATGTGATATTTATCTTTCTCTGACTGGCTTACTTCACTTAGCATAATTTTCTCTAGTTCCATCCATGCTGTTGCAAATGGTAAGAATTCCTTCTTTTTTACAGCAGCATAGAATTCCATTGTGTAGATGTATTTTTATAATTAGGAAGGGGAAGGTGGTATAAATACCTGGGGGGAAATAGGTCTTCTGGTCTGTGTGTAACATAGGCAAGTAGCAGTCTTACTGTCATTTCCAGTGCTCTGCCCCCCATCCTGCTAACCTTATAACAGAGAAATCTAAGATTACTAGTGTCTGTGTCCCCTTGGGAAAGGGTTCAGTAGAAAAGACTGAGAGAGAGAGAGAGGAGTGTGTCTTATCTTTGGTGTATATTTGGTCTTTGGTTACTCTCACTATGTAAGTTTGGGCAAGTAGCTTAACACTGCTGTGCCTGTATCTTTCTCAAAAAGGTTTGGGTCATATTAATATTTACCTTATTTGGATTGTTGAGAGGACTAAATAACTTAAAATATGTAATACATTAAGAATGGTGCTTGGCACATACTTAGCACTCAATAAAGGTTAGCTAGTTATCATGTGTGGTGGTGATGCTGCTAATAATAGAGAAAAAGAATAATAGTTGGGTATTGTTTGAGGTATTTTTTATAAATTGGACTCATTTGATCTTCGTAAACAACGCTATGAGATACTTACTATTATCCCCATTTTCTACAGGAGGAAACTGTCACATGGCAGTTAAATAACCTCCCATGGTTATAAAGCTGGTAATTAGTAGAGCTAGGATTCAAATCAGGCATTCTGTCTCCAGAGTGGTATACCCCTTCTCACAGTGAAATACCACCTCTTTAATAGCAGTAGTGATAGTTTTATTATGGCCAGATTGTTAAAGGCCTTTGACCCCAAATTACTAGGTATATTTCTGCACCTAGAAAATCAAATGTTTCTTTAAAAGTAGGAATAGGGCCCTAGCCGGCTTGGCTTAGTGGGTAGAGCGTCAGCCTGGGGACTGAAGGTCCCAGGTTCGATCCCGGCCAAGGGCACATGCCTGGGTTGCGGGCTCGATTCCCAGTAGGGGATGTGCAGGAGGCAGCCGATCAATGATTCTCTCTCATAATTGATGTTTCTATCTCTCTCTCCTTCTCCCTTCTTCTCTGAAATCAATAAAGAAATATATTTTTTTTAAAAAGTAGGAATAGGGAAAAACTAAGTTAAATTTAATGATTACTGGCACCTGATGTTTAGTTTATGCCAGTCCTCCATTTGTTTGCTTCTCTTTTAGTTTTGCTCTAAATACTACTGATAATATAGGGTATCCCAAAAATATATATATATATTAGTACACACTTTGAATAATTATAAAGGCAGTGTTTATTTGGATACATTTTATGTTTATTTACTAGCGATCAGCTGTTAAAGCATGTATACATTTTTTGGGACACCTTGTAGATTAGAGATCATCTATATATATAAAAGGCTAATATGCTAAGTGTCCCCTCGGGAGTTTGACCGGAAGACCAGGAATTCAATTGCTCGCTCTGGTGTGCACTGACCACCAGGGGGCAGCGTGGAACATGATGGGTGACCAGTGGTGGCTGGGCACTGAGGGAGCGAGGAGAGGAGGAGGCAGGGGAAATGATGCTGTGGCAAGTGGGTGGCGAGGGAAGAAAGACATAGGGAGGCAGGGAACCTAATCGGTCCTGATCACCGGCCAGGCCTAGGGACCCTACCCATGCATGAATTTCGTGTACTGGGCCTCTAGTTATAAATGAGGAAACAGAGGCACAGTTAAGTAAAATACCATGATCGCACAACTAGAAACTGGTAGAGCAGTGATGTGAACACAAGCATTCTGCTACCTCTCTAAATAGAGTAAAACTTGCCCTAACTGGTTTGGCTCAGTGGATAGAGTGTTGGCCTGCGGACTGAAGGGGCCCAGGTTCGATTCCAGTCAAGGGCACGTGCCTGGGTTGCGGGCACATCCCCAGTAGGCGGTGTGCAGGAGGCAGCTGATAGATGCTTCTCTCTCATCGATGTTTCTAACTCTCTATCCCTCTCCCTTCCTCTCTGTAAAGAAATCAATAAAATGTATTAAATAAATAGAGTAAAACTTTTTACATGTATTAATTAAATTTATGTGTAATGAATCAGCATAATTTAGTAGATTATGAACTGTTTTCTTTGTTTTGTGCTTGGTAGAGGCTAACTGGTTGGTCTACATGGCTGTGACTCAAGCCACTACCTCACATGGCAGAAATAATGTTAGTTCATGATTTCAAATGTGTTAGGTATAAGGAGGTGGAGGTGAGTATATATATGTATTTGAAAGTGTTTTAATAGGAGCCTTTCATTATTTTGAACCATTTCATTCACATATCTACTTAGGGAGAATCATGTTTCCTTATAAAATACTGAAACTGCTAGTATAAAATAAAAGGAGAAGGGCCTTTGCACTCGTTTCTGTGTTTGACTCCCAATTCTGCCCTTTATTGTATGCTAGTGAGCAAATTATTTTATAGTCCTGAGCCTTAGTTTCCCCAAACAAAGGGGAATAGTGCCTAACTGGCAGAATTACCAGGCTTAGAAATAATGTATGTAAAGTACCCAACATAAAAATGGTTAACAAATGGTGATTATTGTTGATGTTGTTTTCAGCATTCTTTCTCTCTAAAAATACAGTGTTCAACAAGGAAAGAGCTAATTTTCATAAATTACACATTAGAGAGTACCGGCTATGCACAGGTATCATAAATTAGAGCACTTAACGTAACTTGAAAAAAAAAATTTTTAGGTCTTCCACCCATACTGGGATCCACTACCACCAGCTAAGCATATAGTAGAGACTAATAACTCTTTGTTGTTTATCATCTCTCACTCTCAGCAACATTTAAGAATAGGAACCAGGACTAGAATAAGGTCTGCTCTTAATGCCTGCTTACGTAATATATCAAGTTGAAAGTAGTGAATTGTGGGATCACCCTATATATTTATACATTTTTAAAAGTGCCTTCAGACACATTGTTTACATTTGTCTTTTTTGTTTAAACTTTGACCAAACAAATCCAGGTTGGAAGAAGTGGCAATATCCCAGCTGGAACAACAGTTGATACAGACATTACACACCCATATGAGTTTGATTTTTACCTCTGTAGTCATGCTGGAATACAGGTAAGCCTACACTTTGGATGAAATGTTTTAATTCAGGAACTCCCATTAATATGTATATATTTTTTTAATGTCAGGAAAAGGGAAAGTAACCTTTTATGCACTCCAAATTGTTTCCGCATGAAATTAGATGAAATTTTCAGTAGGTAAATGTCTTCCCCTTTCTTACTTTAAGAGGGACTTACGTCTATTTAATTCAGTGCTTCTTAAACATCCCAGCAGCACAGAGTGAATCTGTATTCCTAGATGTCTGAGAGAATGTAGCCCAAAACTGTTTTAGGCTGCTGGCAATTGATTAAAGTAGAAATTTCAAGAAGATGTACCTTACTGTATAGCTGTATCTTAAAGCTTTATATATATATATACATCTCACATACACTAACCCCAGTTTCATTCTTACAGCTTTAAAATTCTTGTCCCACTCATTTATCTATGTTCTTATACCTGCTCCTCTTTACAATCAATGTTGTACGTTTTCATGGAGGGTAGTTAAAAATAAAGTTAAAAGGACCTTCTAGAAATAAAAATCTATATTATTAGAGTACATATTTACCATGTATACCAAGAAACACTACTGCTGTAAATACCACAGAGGAGAAAAAAGGATTTCTCTGTTCAATAAATTTTGGAAATAAATAAGATTTTTTTACTTTAGAACTTTTGGATATTACTGATAATGCAAATGAATCTTCAAGACAGGAATATTTCCCCAATGTACTTAACCAAAAACTTTAATTCTCCTTATAGCCCAATTTCTGATGATTTTATTTATACATTACCTGCCTCATCTCTGGAATGTGTCTTATTCATTACTGTGTGCCTGGCACTTTATACAGGACATGGCATATAGTGAGCGATTACCTAATATTGAATGTGTGTGAATGTATAATACATTATATAGGCATTATAAACCTGTAATTTGGGGGGTATATTTGATAATAATTTGAGTTTTATCCCCAAAATCTTGCACAGTGTCTAACAAACAAATATTTGTTAAAGTATGAGCTAATCTTTCTCCTTTACACCTTTGCCACTGCCCTTTCCTTAGTTCATACCTTCATTATCTCACACCAGAATTATTGCAACAGCCTCCTAACTGCTCTTTTTGCTTTCAGTCTCTTCCTGTTTCTAATCCATCCTCCATATTATTGCTGATGTTACTTTTAGAAAACCCCAATCTCATCACACCTAAAAACTGTAAAAAAAAAATAAAAATAATGCTTTCGCTGCAATTCTTAAGCATGTCATTCAGTCTGATTCCAAATGTTCTTTTCATCTTCATCTTTTTCCCTTCCTGTGCCAGACTCTGTTCATACTGGTCTGGTAGCCATTCCCCAAATACACCAGGAATTATTATGCCCCCCGTGCATTCTAGTGTCTCCTCACTAACCTCAACATAAAGGCCAAATCCCACTCATTCCCCACTTGGTGAAGAATCAGGCTTACTTCCACAATCACTTGCCTTGGTATTCTCATACAGGATTGAGTGCCACGTCTTATAGCCACTTATTACTTGTTTTATAATTGTCGATGCTCTGTCTCCTCTAGTCCTTTACAAATTATGTTTTCCAAAAGACAGGAAATGTTTTACTTTGTTTTTCTTTGAGTCCGTATTACCTAACATAGTAACTAATACATAAAAGCTCAAGTAAATGTTCTGGTGTTTTTACTGTGGTAAAATATACATAACATACAATTAGCATTTTAATCATATTTAAGTATACAATTCCAGTGCATTAATTACATTCACATTGTTATGCAGCTCTATCACCATCTATCTGAAGAATTTTTTCATCTTTCCTGACAGTGTGTCCCTATTAAACACTAACTCCTCATTCCCCCTTTCTCCAGCCTCACCATTCTTCTTTCTATCTCCATGAATTTGACTACTCCAGGTACCTTATATCAGTGAATCATATAATATTTGTCTTTTTGTAACTGGTGTATTTCATTTAACATAATGTCATCAAGGTTCATCCATGTTGTAGTATGTGTCAGACTTTTCTTCCTTTTTAAGCCTGAATAATAATATTCCATTAAATGTATATACCACATATTGTTTATCCATTCATCTATTAATGGACACTTGGGTTGCTTCCATCTTTAGGCTAATGCTGCTTTTGAACATAGGTGTATAATAACTGTTCAAGTCCCTGCTTTCACTTTTTTTGGATGTACACCCAGAACCAACTAAATGTTTTTTTAAATCCATTATTAAATTAGAATATGTTTTACTGTTGTAGAAAGCTGACTTTTTGTATAACTTCGTCTATGCTAAATATTTATTTAAAAGTTTAGAAATCAACAGAATATGTCATTGCCTTCTCTATAGGGTACCAGCCGTCCTTCACACTACCATGTTTTATGGGATGATAACTGCTTTACTGCAGATGAACTTCAGCTGCTAACTTACCAGCTCTGCCACACCTATGTGCGCTGTACACGATCTGTTTCTATACCTGCACCAGCGTATTATGCTCACCTGGTGGCATTCAGAGCCAGATATCATCTCGTAGACAAAGAACATGACAGGTAATATAAAAGCGTAACAAATACAGATTTTTACCCAAATTCACATATGGCCTACATATTAGGATTTTCTTGGGACATTTCTTTGTTTCCATGTAAATATGTGGTTCCATATAAGTATGTGGCTCTCTATTTGCCATAAAGAACTGCCATTTAGAATTAAAGTTCCATGACCTACTAGAGGAGTCAGTGGTCATATGAAAAGCAGTGATAGTCAGAACTGACTGCCCGAGATAAGGGTTCCCATTAAAATGTGCAGTCTAGGCTTATTAGTAATAGAATGATACAGTGACTTACTTGCTTTATCAGATTAACTCAAGTGAAAGATTGTTGATGATAAAAGTGATATATAACAACAAAATTATAGGATGTCTTGGATTTGCTTCTAAATAATCCTGAGCAAGTGAGAGAAGTAAAATTGACCATGAGTTAATTATTGAAGCTGGGTGATAGACATGTAAGATTATACCAGCCTCTATTCCTAAAAATATTTGTGAAATTTTCTACAACAAATAATAGTGTTCAGAATTATTACATCAGGATAGGGTTTGTTTGTGTGTTCATTGCCAATTCTCTTACAGTGCTGAAGGAAGTCACGTTTCAGGACAGAGCAATGGGCGAGATCCACAAGCTCTTGCCAAGGCTGTACAGATTCACCAAGATACCTTACGCACAATGTACTTTGCTTAAAAAGTCCGAGAATATTCTCTGAGATGAACAATTGAAAGATGAATTGACATACACCGTATGTTTCCAGTGGAGTCCATTGAGTGGGAATGCCTCCAGCCATACAGAAACCAACACTGTGGGGACCAGGGTCTGATTTTTATGTTGATACAAGGAAGATTGTTTACTTTGTCAAGGGACACAGCACCATTATGCAATATGAAACCAGCCAACTGCTTTTTTGTGCGGTCTCCTGTAGGAAGTATCGCCATTGTTTTGTTTTCACTTTCTTGTAGTGTAACCCTTTTAATGCCTTTACCTCAAGTTGCTTGGCAGCACAACTATCTTTGCAAAAAAAAAAAAAAGGAAAAGAAAGAAAGAAAAGGTGAATAATGGTTTTAAAAAAACACACCTACATGAATAATCAGTGATTGTTCACAATTATGTGTGCAACAAAATTAATGTGCATTCGTGTATTCTTGTAAAGTATCTGTGTATACTTTAAGTGTATACATGTATACTTCATATGCATATATATCTGGATCTGCATTGATAATAGATATATATGTTCTTTGTATATATTTTATAGTTCATTCCATTGGGAAATTTCTTTCCCTTTTATTATCCTCTCACCACCACTTTTATTTCTTGCTCCACCTCCCTTGCCTCATCATCTACATTTTTTTTCCTTAATGCTACCAGTGATACTCAAATGTTCATGTATCTGGTTCATTTGAATATGAAGCATGGCAAACTAGACTTTTATTTTTATTTTGCACACCTACTCCTGTCTCTTGATTCATACACAATTCTGAGTCCTCAACTCTTGATATTGCTTTCTTAAGAAGCAAAATTATTGTGTGTGTGTGTGTGTGTGTGTGTGTGTGTGTGTTTTTATGAGAGTCTGTGTCTGTCCCCTCCTGCTCTGAACTTATATTTGCCATTTGTGCAATGTATACATAAGCAGTAGCAACCTAAACTGTTCTTTCTTCTCTAGTGAGTTTGTTAAAGCTGCTATAAATATAAAACCCTGTCAGAAGTTATAACTCTTTCTATGAGTGATAAGTATTCTCCTTCTGTTTCTATGTGTTATACATGGAAATTTTTGAAGCTTTTACAAAGAGTAAATATTTTAAATGATTGAAACTCTGTAGGGTGAGGCCTCTGAAATTGGATGGAGAAAAAGAAGGGGTTGAGGTTTTTTAAAAAATATTTTTTTTGCTATTTTACTTGCTGCCTCTCATACATTAATGTGATTTCCATATATATATTTTTATATATATATGTGTGTGTATATATATAAACATATATGTATGTATTTTGAAGCATAGCTTCCTTTTCTTTTATATTTATTAGAATAGTGCTTTAATAATTATAGAACTGTATTGGCAACATCTTTTATAGAAATATAATCATGTTTATTTTAAGAACTGACAATTTGTTTTTGCTATCTTTTAGTGCAATAAGCAGTTTTAAAGGAAAGCTGTTTGACATCTTTACCACAGATAGTGGGAGAAGCAGGCACATACATGATTTTAAAAGAGCAAAGTAATACAGCCTTAATTTCAGAAGGAAAGTTTTGTAATTTTCAAGTCTAAAGCATGTCTTTAAAAATCATAATGAAAATGAAGGAAATTAATATCCTAAATGAATCTGACCTTAAATATTAAAAATAAAATTGAACTTTAATTAAGAAATGATCATGAATAGATTAGGATTTAGAAGGTATTTAAATTCTTTGGAGATAAATCATGTTTATTGAAGAATCATACTGCTTAGGTGCCCATTTTCATTTATTAAAATGAATCAGGAAAATGTGATACTTTTTTTAAAATTTTGCTATTTTATCACGTGTAACTTTCCTTTTAAAATTAGGGTTATGGTAACAAAGGAAGTTAGGGCTTGGATTATTTTAAATGAGTTAAATCACTGAAAGTGGGGGAAAGTTTTGCAAAACTTTTGTTTTATTGATTTCACTTTAAGATATTAAAAAGTACCATTAAGCTGTCAAAACCAAGTTCACCAGTAACATTGGTTTCAGGGGAGCTTTGCACTTTGTAACACATGAAATCTGCATTTTAATTTTTTTTGCACTGGTTTAGAGTATAAATATTACAGATTGTTTTCAATGGGCATTGTTGTTAACCTTTCAAAATTCCATCTGTTTATGAAAACGAATGGATTAGCTCTATAGTTTCTCCCTTACCTGTAATCTACTTTTAATTGCCAATTTACTGTATTTTGAGCCTAAAATCTGAGCCCATGTCCTCCAATAGCTATGAAATCTTTTGTCCCTCTACCAGAAAACTAAGAAAGTACTGTATTTTGTATGTTTATTATATTGAAGTGTCTGAAATGCAATTTACAACACTGTTTCAAAGCTCTTTACACGAGGTAATATTTGTATAGTATATACATTTTTTCTCCCAACCCTCCCTGCTCTCCTCCAAAAAATTCCTATAAAGCAAGGTGTTTGGGGGTTTTTACATTGAAATTTTACTAAATATAGTAGTCAGGAACATGGGCAAGAGAAGAAAATAGTGTTTTCTAGATGGTAAAAACTTGATTGTTGTGTGCTTGCTCGGTATGAGAAAACATCTTCATTTATCAATGGGAGTTACACAGATTCATGTGGGAAACTTTAGGGCCCAGGGAAGAACTGTGTTCTATTCCTATTTCCTGCTTTACCTAATTTTCAGTTACTTAATTTCACTTGCGCTAGAGTGAAGCCCATAATTTAAATCTATTTGGAAGGACTTTTACAAAGGGAAAAAATTTTTTTTAATATAAACCTTTACCTTTGAAGTGAGTTCTTTTTTAGGGTTTCTTACAGTTTCAACATTAATAGTTTAAGGTTGGTTAACTTGAAAAAGTATGTATAGTATATTTTTACTTTGCTTACTATGCTTACTAACAAATTAGTATGTCAAACTTAATTACAAGAAACCTTGTACTTAAGAGTTTTAAGATAGAAGACTAAGAGACAAATAACTTTTTGATTTTTGTTTTAATTATTGCATTTCTGGTGTAGAATTCCTGATCTTTTTCATTTTTTGAAGAAGGTTGTTCGAATTTAATGGCCATGAAACTGAACAGTGACCTTTCTGTTCCTGCCCTTGCTCACTAACTATATGATGAATGCTGTTTTCTGTGATGTAGGAGTGACTTCAAAATGTCAGTGCCAGCAACTGGTATAATTGATTTTCATGTGAAGAAAAGTTGGGAGTTTAATTATACTCTGGATAGCAAATGAGTCTGTGTAAATTGCTGTTACATGTTATTATATTACAGTAGCAAGTTACTGGCATTGAGGACCATACATTTATAATACTGTAGCTGCTATATTTATTTAAGTAGAGTCTGACAGTTACTGCACTAAACAATAAGGAGATGAGCAAGTTTCAAGGCTAGTGTTAGACCCCCTCCCCCACTCTCTTTTTTTTTTTTTCTAAATAAGATTAAGAACATGAAATATCATGATAACAAAGGGTGCTGCCATTTTAGTTTCAATTTAATATCAGGACACTACTTTTTTAATTTATCTTTATTTGTTGAAAGTATTACAGATGTCTCCTTTTTTCCCCATTGATCCCCTCTAGCCGAAACATGGATTTTTACTTTAGCATTTTGAAAAAAGGGTACCTCAACCTCCTCAGTACTGGTTTTGGCATATTTTCACAGAAATAAAGATGCCCTTTATTTTTTTCTTAATACTTTACCTTTTAACAAAAGGTTTCTCAGAAAAAAAAATTTTCTTCTATGGAAAGCTTCCTATTTGTAACCTATTAATTTATTTAAGAGCGTCTAGAAGGGATTCTAGTAGGAATGTACTGGGTGTTCTGGAAGGCACATGATAAAGATTCATCTCTTCCTTCTAGCTTAGGGACTCCTGACCTTCTACTAGTAAAGTCCTATACTAGTTTTCCAAACTAGGTTCTCTGATGACCCACCACTGCCTAATGTTTACTTTTATATTTATCCTAAAATGGATTTTAGTATGCTAGACATCATGACAGACCTAAGGTATGTCTAGGGAAATAAAAGCCGGGTTGTCATTAAGTAGAAGTGACTGACAAAGGATCTGGGTGTTTAAAGAAAAGGTGAACACTCAGAGTGGCAGTAATAGATCTGAAGTAATTAGATGGATTATAAGCTAGGAATTAGAGACTGTCATTCAAGGAATGTGGTGAGTTTCACATGCTGACATGAATTTACCAGGGGTGATGATTTTTATGAAAGCAATGAAGCCAGCCACTTGGATTTAGCTAGAATATTTTGTAGTCTTGCTATGTCAAACTTGATAGTAATGTTTTGCCAAGAAGTTTAACACAGCTCTGCATAATTTTTATTCAGTATCATAAAACCGGAGTTAAATATTTGCTTAACTCATCATCTTAGATGTTTCCCTATTGAATACTTTTTAAAGACAGTTTGCCTGAACAGTAACTTGCTACTTAAATTACCTTTTATGAGTTATCAGTCAAGATTCATTGGCCCAGCATCTTCATTTTGGCTTTTTATCCCTATGAAGTTTTAATCCTTTTCATTCTTTTTGAGAATTCATGGTTGTTTTAAAGCTACAATCATAATAGCTGGGAGACTATATCAGGTGAGGCCTTCCTAAGTGGCAGTCTAACCTTGACTCTAGACTCTGTCTTTATTTTCCTGTTTCCCTCCCATTTAATCATATAAAGCACTTTTGTGATTCTATAGGAGTCAACAGATAAGCCAAGAAAAATTGGTAAAATCAGTACTACAAAATGTGAAAGTCAGAATTTTCTCCAAAAAAATCTTGTTGCTTATACTAAGAAAATTCTTGATCAGTGGCACTGTTAGAAATTATACTGTGATTAGTGAAACCTAAGCTGACTCCCAGGAAGAATAACATCTCCCCTCCTCCTCCTCTTTGTCATATATCTATAAATACCACAAAGGAAAAATATTTTTACATTTTCCTACTTTTAAAAACGGTACATTTCAGTTTACAAGTTCCCATGTCAGTTAAAATAATTTCTTTTTAACTAAGATATTATTGTCAAGGCTTGTACTAATATCTACTACTAGTTGAATTTTATTTTTATTTACCCATCAAAGATAGTACTCTAGATTTTTACATTGTTGATTAAGCCTCAAGAATCTTTTGCTCTTAAGGTATGTAAGTTAAAGGTTCTAATTGAATTAAAGATAGATAATAAATATAATATGGATGATTGAGATTTACCAATGAGAAACCTGTTGAAATATCAGATAACAAACAGTGTGACAAAATTAAAATCCTATCTAATCATATACCCAGCCATTGGTCTTTCTTCCTTTCTGTAATCAATGTCTGAAGTATCCAAAATTTAATGTTGTATCTAGGGTAAAACAAAGGTATTCTTTGGGGTGAACACTGTATTAAATTTTTTAATCATTTTTTTTTAAAGCAAGGCGGTTCTTAGAAAGTGCCTTTTCAGAAGATGGTGCTATAGATTTTTATTTTTCAACTAGCATGAGGCTAAAACTTTTAAAAATAAATATTTTAGAACTCCAAGAGTGTGACAATTTCATATAAATGTTATATGTTGTCCTGAATCTGGTCCAAGGGAATGAAGTAAAACGTTTATTCAGTAAAGTATCTAGGTAAATGCTCACCAAATATATTTTGTAAGTTTGAAAATAAACTTTAAATGCTTTTATTTCTCAGCTGTGTTGAAGGTAATCTGTAAGGCACATAAAACAGCAAATCTGCTTAACTTTTTAACAAGAATATGGGTGAAGTAGCAAGTGCCCAAAGGGAAAGGAATTACATGTCATAGGCTATCTTTTCTTTTTCCCCCCAGCATAGACTGACCCTTTTGTAAATATCTATTGGCCACCATTTCTAAATATTTTTTATTAAAGAAGACTGCTTATAAAGGGACAGCCAAGTCATGGAAATCATTATAAGAGAAAAAGTAAAATGATCATGTCTCTATATTTAGGGAAGTTTTCTGTTTTAGGAATCAAGATTAAGTTACTCTCTTTTTTCTAGCATGGGGGAACTAAGAAAAATGATGGCAGTCCATCTAAAAGGGTATGATCAGTTCATTAGATACAGAACGTGCAAAATTGGGCTTTGGGGGAAATAAGTAAAAGGAAGGATAATAGCGGGACCATTCACACTTATTAGAAATTTGGTAATCTACCAGAAAGCAATTTTCCCCCAGACTAGGAACAGTAAACAGCAGTAAATGATCCCTAACCAGTTCTTGCTCATGAATTTGGTGAGCATTTCTCCAAAAAGGAGTAGACTGAAAACAAAAAAAACTACACCTCAGTAACCTTCAATGCTGCATTATGTAATAATGATAGTAAAATTATATTGTTTGTTTGGAGTGTTCTGTCTGTTTGCAAATATGCATGCACATTAAACTTCATTTTTATAATGTCTTAATAGCAATTATGAGTTTATTTTTTTAATATTAATTATTCTAATGTTTATATTTATTGGCAATTTGTGTGCAACTTTCATATTTTGCTTAGATGTTAAGGTATTTTATTTTTATAAATATGTCTAGCTTTTCTTCTTCCTTTGTAATATTATTAGCAAAGATTAAGATGGAATGTTAATATACCAACCAAACTACTAATTCTATAAAGTCTAGAATTTGGATTTTTACCAATAAACCATTAACACTATTTTCTAACTTAGAATTATTCAATGTTGTTTATATAATGGGCATTAAAGACTGTCTTTAGACAGATTTCTAAATGTGGAGGGGAAGTGGGGCCTTTCTATAAGTTAGATGTCTTTCCCTTAAGTAGCAAACTAACACTAACAGATTGGATTTACTTGATCTGATCGGCAGTTTTGGAGCAACTTGTCAAATAAACGAGTGTTGTATTTCTTTAACTTCAGCTGCATTGAAACTGCTTAAAATGGTCATATCATCCAGCATTAGGATTATGATACCATTTTTATAGGCCAGAAGTCATTGATAAGTGACTTTGAAATGGGATTCTCTCCTCCCTCCCCCCCCCCCCCCCCCCCCCCATTATATTATTTGGAAACTTTGCTACCCTGATCTTTTCCCTAGCATGCTTTAGGTATATTCAACACTAAACATCAAAGAAGAAACAGAGTTTAAGTGGCTAGGTTGAGCTAGGGATAAACACTAATTAATGTAGTATTTCAGTTCATTAAAAATTTAAAAATAGCCTGACCGGTTTGGCTCAGTGGATAGAGCATTGGCCTGCGGACTGAAGGGTCCCGGGTTTGATTCCAGTCAAGGGCATGTACCTTGGTTGCGGGCACATCCCCAGTGGGGGGTGTGCAGGAGGCAGCTGATCGATGTTTCTAACTCTCTATCCCTCTCCCTTCCTCTCTGTAAAAAAATCAATAAAATAGATTTTTTTAAAAAATTAAAAATAATTTATGGATGAATCAATTGAAAAGCAGGTAAAATATTTCCACTGTATTTTTTTTAATATATTTTTATTGATTTCAGAAAAGAAGGGAGAGGGAGAGAGAGAAACATCAATGATGAGAGAGAATCATGGATTGGCTGCCTCCTATGATCTCACTGAGGATCCAGCCCACAACGCTGGTATGTGCTCTGACTGGGTATCAAACTGTTCAAAGGTTGACACTCAGCCACTGAGCCACACCGGCCAGGCTCCATAGTATTTTTACACTGTGATTTTGCTTGGAAGCCTTTTTTTTTTATTTTTTTATAAGAGATTAGAAGATAAACATTACCCCATCCTCAGGGCTTAGTGTATGGCATTTTGATGAACTATATAGCCTATTCTTCCACTGAGAGGGGGTAAGTGAGAAAGTTTCAAGTAATTATAATTTGGAAAACGTTATTTTTATATTACGTAAAATTTTATAATTTAAAGTGAGTCAGCATGAGGTTTCATATACACATTTGCCATGTTTCTTTTTGCATTTTCTGTACTAGTCTGAGCTACTTCATCCCCACTCCCACAATTGAAGATTGGCACTCTGATTATAGCAGTTTGTTGCTACTAAATAAAAGCTAAATACGTTTCAAGCAGTCAGAAAATACTTTATTATTAAAAGACTTCATTATGCCCCCCTCTTAATATTTACTGTGCTTGTAATTTTAATAGTTTTATTCATTATGTTTCAGCATTGCCCGAGGTTGGCAGGCATATAATTGTAGACCAACATTTTTAAGGCAGCCTGAGTAGAATAGTTCTTTCTTTTTTTCCTTCTGAAAGCTTATGGGAACCTCATACATAGAGCTTATTTTGCTCTTTTAACTGTTTGGCTCCATAAATGAAGGTACCTGGCATCCGTAGTGAGTAACTGTGGTGAAGTACTGGGTGACTTGTTCGTGTTTGCAGTCTATTTCCTCAGAAAGGAATATTTGTGCATTAAGTAATAGTTTATCCCCAAAAAGAACTGTCATGAACAGTCTTATATGAGTAGAAAACAGATGGGAGTGTTGGTCATTAGAACTCTGTGGGGGGTTTTTCATTTCCAAAAATTGTCTGCACCTCTATAATTTTATGTTTTCAGCTTAAGAGGCTGTGCCAGAGAGGGAGATTAGTATTTAATGCCTAAATCTTTCCATCTTTATATTTTATGGCTTTAGTTGGAAGGACAGACAAACAGAGAAGTCCTTTAATTTGGCCCTTTAATAACATTTTTAGAACCAAAGAAGGAAAGACTCCACAAAGATGTTGTAGGTGTGACTATATTCTATATATATAAAAGGCTAATATGCAGTGTGCCCTTGGGAGTTCAGCCGGGAGACCAGGAGTTCACTCGCTCACTATGTCATGTGCTGACCACCAGGGGGTGGCGCAGAACATGGTGGGCGACCAGCAGTGGTGGCCAGCCACTGAGGGAGCAAGGGAAGGAGGAGGCAGGGAACCTGATTGGCCCTGAACGCAGGCCAGGCCTAGGGACCCTACCCGTGCATGAATTTCATGCACTGGGCCTCTAGTCTTTATTATAAGAACCTATGGAAGCAGGAGGTCTTTGTAAAGAACTAATGGGATTGTGAGAGTATGTAGTGGGGGAGGGGGGTGGGAAAAGTTTCTTTGCTAGGATCCTTGCATAGACACCTTACAGTTGTTTAATATTTGTGTAGTTCTCAAACCACATTGTAAAAGTTGTTATTTGAACCTACAGAAGAGACCTAAGAAGAGTGAATGCCTCTGTAACCTGTTTACTTCATGTTGCCTCAGATGTAAAACTGCATCTACCCTCGTTAAATTTGAGATGTCTCACAGTTGCTTCTGAATTATAATAAAGAAATCAAATGAAGTATTTATCCTTAACTAGAGCCAGGACATTGCTATCAACATGGCCTTTCCAGACAAGGTGGTCTTTCCTGTAACAAAAATGCTTTGGATGAAAGGTTTAGGAAAAACACTGGTAGGCTGTAGAAGGAGGAATTTTGCCTCACGTACACAGTCCAACCAGGTTAATGGATTCAGTTTGGTCCCAGGCCAGGGAGCATAACAAGAGGAAGCTTTGGTTTTAGGTAGCAATAGATTGGCTCTCCCATGGTAATTCATTGCAAATATCTCCGTTTGACAGAAAGTGATTGATCTCAGAGTATTGATGATGGCCCTGCAAGTGTGCATCTGCTCTTTTTCTTTCTTTTTTTCTTTAATATATTTTTATTGATTTTTAGAGATAGAGGAAGGAAGAAAGAAATAGCGATCTCCTGCCTCCCACATATCCCCTACTGGGGCTCGAGCCTGCAACCCTGGCATGTGACCTGACCAGGAATAGAACAGACAACCTTTCTGTGCACAGGACAACACCCACCCAGTTGCGCTGCACCAACTAGGACCTGTATGCTCTTTTTCTAAATCAAAAGCCAGGAATAGCAAGCACTAACTGAAATGTTTCATAGTTTGTCTCTCTTAGATTCTTTAAAAGTTTTACGGGAGCTTTCTTATTTCTTAGCCCAGGGTACAACCCCTTTCTCCTCTTTAAAAAAAGAAAGAAAAGAAAAGGTATTTAAAGGCAGTTTATATAGGATTCTACTATGAGAAAATAATAAATTTTAATTGGGGGAGGAGGATTACATGCCACAAGTTACAGCTTGATTGCAAGACTGAGCACTTTTTTATGTTTGGGTTCTAAAGTTTTTCCTTTGACATATCATTCTTTTATTTACTTGAGGGCCATTCTGTTTTGTAAGGTAATCAGTGTTTTATGCCATTTATGAATTGTGCAGTTCCCACCCCCCACCACCACACAGACACTGTTAATAAAGGGAAGGATAAAACAAAAAGGTATTATAAGAATCATTGGAATGTAACTTTAGTTACTATAGATTGAAAGAAACCTGAACTTGGTTAAGTGGGAATTAAGATTGAAGTGTTAATGCTGCAGGAATGATCTCTAGCCATAGAATGTTTTGCTAGTGATAGAGTGATTGTGTGGACAGAATATATATATGAAATATGATGTGATAGGAAAGTGATAAAATTATTCTTGGAAGTAATATTTCAACTTGCAACAGAGATTAAGGAAAATTTAATATAGCTTCTGGTTTTAATGAATTAAACTTTAACTTAAACTTTAAAAGGTTTGTGACTTCTATTCTGATACATATTTTCTTAAATATGTAAAAAATTTGAATGGACACTTAAATTTTTTTTTAATCCTCACCCAAGGATATGTTTTTATTAATTTCTTAGAGAAGAGGGAGAGAAACATCGATCAGTTGCTCCCCCCACCCTAAACACACCCAACCGGGGATCAAATCCACAACCCAGGTATGTGCCGTGATCAGGAATTGAACCTCCAACTGTTTGGTGTATGGAACGGCACTCCAACCAACTGAGCCACCTGGCCAGGACAACAATTAGGCTAGTCTTTCCTCTTAATTTACATATTGATTTATTCAGACTTCAGTTAAATAGATCTTTCACATATCCCTCTTGGTGTGTGCAAAATTCCATATTATAAAAGTTTTAACTCATTTTCTAGTCAAACCTGAGGTGTAAAGAAGAAGGCATTTTAAAGTGTTTTCAAATTGCAGGAACTTCTAAAAGATCACAACTGGAAAAAGACTGTTGAGAACTTGTTGCTTTAAGAATTTAGAAAGAGCTCTAAAACTGGAGCCAGAGACTTGGAGTTTAGTCAACGCTCTGCCACTGATTTGCTCTGTGTCATTAGGCAGTTTCCTTACTCTCTCTGTCCAGTTTCTCCTTGTGAACTGGTAGTGATCATAACCGCCCTCACCTACCTCACACAGTTGCTGTAAGACTAGGGTGTTTGTGACTATGCTTTAATTCTCCAAAAGAAAAGCTGATCAGAAGTTTCAAGATAATATAATCCTATTGTATGAGGGTTCATTTACAGTTTGCCTCTATGAGAGTATCTTTAATTACCATAGATCAGTGGTCGGCAAACTCATTAGTCAACAGAGCCAAATATCAACAGTACGACAATTGAAATTTCTTTTGAGAGCCAAATTTTTTAAACTTAAACTATATAGGTAGGTACATTGTTATTAACTTCATTAGGGTACTCCTAAGCTGGCCTTTGCTAAAAACGTCCTCAATCTGATTGAAGTACGTTCGCTGAGGTCGACCCCTTCCAACTCTCCCATCCACACTCGTCTTGTATACTTGTTTCGTCTATCTCCTTTCGTTCATCCTCTCTATATGTCCAAATTCGCTGAGGTCGACCCCTTCCAACT